AACGCCCTTTACCGTACATGTTTCCATGACACTAAGTGACCTTTTAAATACACATTGACAAGTTGTGGCTTTATGACGCTTTATTCACGGGCTAAAGTTAGCAACAGGTTTTTAGTCACGGGCTGAAGTTAGTTTTAAGTTAGTTGACAGTTGTCAAATGTCATACAATCGTTAAAATAAAGTGCCTTTCTTCTAAAATAATACTAAATGTGAAAATTATTTTATTATCTTAATACAAAAATACAAAAGTATTAAATAGTTTCTTAACGCCAATATTTAAAAAGTTTATATGAACATTGTACTGACCTTTTAATTTCGCCGGCAGTAAACTTAATTTCGGGCACGGACTCTACTGTAAAGTCCTCATAAAACATTTTCTTTTGTTTCACTGTGAAAAACTGTCAATTTTCAAGATATATGCACTATCCATTGTGGATATATGTACATTTCGATTTATAACCTTTATAATTGTGTTTATAAAATGTAAAAATGTGACATTTGACAGTTTCCCCTATTGTTTCATAGATGGCGCTCTATACAAATTTTTGATTTAAATCATTTTAAGATAATAATAAGTATTTGTCGTAGAAAAAGTATAGTATGCACCTCGTTTATAAACTTTTCTATACACTCATTAATTTAAGCACTCGCTCGCAAGCTCGCTCGTGCCTAAATTAAATTCGTGTATAAAATGGCGTTTATCAAACTTGATACATAATATACTGATATCTTATCCTACATTGACGAGCTGTGACTTTATGGCGTTTTAGTCACGGGCTGAAGTTAGCAAGAGTGGCTTTTGGGCATTTTAGTTATGGGCTGTAGTTGGCTTTATTATAAACTGGGGAAAGGTGAAGTTAAATCTGTTGACATTTGACAGATTTAAAATGTTTAACTAATAAAAATGGCTCTTAATTTTTCTTTGTGTTGCAGTTGAAGTATATTATATATAGTATGCAACTCTAGTTGCAAGTGAGTGTTCAATAAAAACGAGTGTCTAGAAAATCGTTTTATAAACTTTTCTAGACACTCGTTTTTATTAAAGACTCGCTTGCAAGCTTTGCTCGTGCCTAATGAAACTCGTAACTAAAATGGCATTTACAAACTTAATACATAATATACTATTAGACCTAATACAGCTAAACCGATCACGGATTTGGAATCTTCGACCAATAATTATTTGTACATATGTCCTAGCGTTTAGCTGTGACAATTTAAGAGTTGAAAATTTACCTACAGTGTAATTATTAAATTAAATTATACTTTAAAATGCTGTTTCTTATTTTTAAGTTTTGATTAAAAAAGTTACGCAAAATATTCGTTGATTTCTCACACTGTAGGTACAGGGTGGTCCACGTAAAGTGACCCATATACTTATCTCAGAAACTACTGGAGTCACAAAAAATTTGTAAGGAACAAATATTCACGAAGTAAAAAATATTTTTAAAATATTATATTTTTATTTATACAGGGTGTTCGGTTTTCCTTGGCACGATACCAACTTTCTTATTTTCAATGAAACACCCTGTATTTTTTTGTATTTTTGGATTCTTCCCACTCTTTTAGGTATACTTTGTAAATATATTAAATAAGAAAATGTTAATACTTTTTGAGTAAAATTAAGATTTATTAAAATTTCTCTAAATGTAGACACTCGCTAAAAGTTAAAAATAACCAACTAAAAGTTATTATTTTTTATATTATGTAGTATCCATCTCTTTAATAATAAGTAAGCTATAAGTTAATTATTATATTTTTTGGAAAATATCATACAGGGTGTTTTCTATGTCCCGTTGAAAATAGCGATTTTAAAAGTTTAAAATCTTTTTTTTATTCAATGGAACACCCTATATATTTTTGCATAATTGGATAGAATAAGTAATTACCTTTCATTTTATATATATATGTCCTATACCTAAACCTAACAGAAAAAAAAATATTCGCATTTTTCACAATTAGTAGCTTTTTTCCAATTACCTTAGTTAAATTTTCATTATTCAAAGAAAACACCCTGTATAATATTTTCCAAAAAATAAATGAATTAACTTATAGCTTACTTATTATTAAAGAGATGAATGCTACATAATATAAAAAATAATAACTTTTAGTTGGTTATTTTTAACTTTTAGCGAATAGCTGGCCATACACAGACGTTATTGCGCGTGGTTTATCGTGTTATCTGCAAAAATATATGGAAAATCATGTACGTGAGTGAGTATCGCCTCGCGCAATGATAGAACGGGAAGGTATCTCAGACGTGCTTTCCTCTGGAGTGTGGCGTACATCATTTCAGCAGTGTCCACACCCCACACGCCACATTCCGCGTCACGGTTTGGCGAAATTTCACGTTAAAAATTTCAAACGACTCGATAAATGACACTTTTTGCCCACTCACATACGATTTTTCCTTTGAAACCGATATACCACGCGCAATCACTTGCTAAATCATTGGAATACTTTATCAAGTGTATGGAACATGACGCTTTTTTTGCCATGCCGTTCTTTCGTGCATACTAACCGCTACATCCCAACACGCCACGATAAACCGCGCGAAATAACGTCTGTGTATGGCCAGCTAATGTCTACATTTAGAGAAATTTTAATAAATCCTCATTTTACTCAAAAAGTATTAACATTTTCTTAATTAATATATTTACAAAGTATACCTAAAAGAGTGCGTAGAATCCAAAAATGCAAAAAAATATAGGGAGTTCCATTGAAAATAAGAAAGTTGGTATCGTCCCAAGGAAAACAGAACACCCTGTATAAATGAAAATATAATATTTTAAAAATATTTTTTACTTCGTGAATATTTGTTTCTTACAAATTTTTTGTGACTCCAGTAGTTTCTGAGATAAGTATATGGGTCACCTTACGTGGATCATCTAAAAAAAATATTCGCATTTTACAAAATTAGTAGCTTTGCGCGTATGGTAATTATTATAGTAATATATATTTATATATAAAAGCATTTTTATTTGTTGTTATTGAAATTTATTTATTTGAATAATGAAAATTTAACTAAGGTAATTGGAAAAAAGCTAGTAATTGTGAAAAATGCGAATATTTTTTTTTCTGTTAGGTTTAGGTATAGGACATATATATATAAAATGAAAGGTAATTACTTATTCTATCCAATTATGCAAAAATATATAGGGTGTTCCATTGAAGAAAAACAAGATTTTAAACTTTTAAAATCGCTATTTTCAACGGGACATAGAAAACACCCTGTATGATATTTTCCAAAAAATATAATAATTAACTTATAGCTTACTTATTATTAAAGAGATGGATACTACATAATATAAAAAATAATAACTTTTAGTTGATTATTTTTAACTTTTAGCGAGTGTCTACATTTAGAGAAATTTTAATAAATCTTAATTTTACTCAAAAAGTATTAACATTTTCTTAATTAATATATTTACAAAGTATACATAAAAGAGTGGGTAGAATCCAAAAATGCAAAAAAATACAGGGTGTTCCATTGAAAATAAGAAAGTTGGTATCGTCCCAAGGAAAACCGAACACCCTGTATAAATGAAAATATAATATTTTAAAAATATTTTTTACTTCGTGAATATTTGTTTCTTACAAATTTTTTGTGACTCCAGTAGTTTCTGAGATAAGTATATGGGTCACCTTACGTGGACCACCCTGTACACACTCTGTATAATAAAGCATTGGCTTTACTTTAAAAATGTATGAAAATAAAAAATAAATGCTTGTTTTTTAAAAAAATTTGTAGAGTAGCTACCTAAAAATTATTGCAGCTTTATTTGTTTTTTTGAATATCTGATAAATTAAAAAAATATATATATTGTGTTCGAGAATTATATCCAAACTAATAATCTGATAAAATAAACAAAAATGTTTCGTTTTTAACACATATTTGTTGAGTAAATAAAATTATTTCATTTATATTGCTTTATTTATTTTTTCAAATAATATAAAATACAAAAATTATGTCCAAACTAATTAGTTTCATGACTTCCTAATTGGAAGTCATGTAAAAACGCTCCCAATCTTTATCAGAAAAACGATCTATAACCTTCAATTAAAAAATAACAATTGTTTTACTTCAAATAATAGCAAGGATTTGATCCAATTTCTAACTTGCCAGTTTGCATCCTAATTTATAAATTTTGCAAGGTTAATTTGCATTGTTTGTATTTAAAATGGTGAGATTTTTATGTATCGATTATTCCGGTTGTATATAACGTCAAAATACGTCTTTTTTACCCTAGATTTTATCTTTTACATAACATCATAGAAAAAACACCAGAATGCTAGCTAGACATAAAATTTAGTCCGTTTACTACAAACCTTGTTCCGGTTTTACAGATGTCGCCGTTGTAATAATTAAAGTTTCCGTATGATTTTTTAAATATTTTTAAAGCACTACAGCTGCGCCATCTGGAAAACGTGAAAGCGGGAATTTTTATTATAATCTATGGCGGGAATATCGCAGTCACAACCAGGGTGGTCACAACAGCTTAGCTCTGGTGGTTTTTCTGTGCATAACGTTATTCGAAAGATTGTATTTTGTTATCCTGAAAATTTTATTTAAATACATTTTTTTAGAAGTATTTTGTAGGGTATTAAAAAATGTTGACATGGTTGGCACCAGAATGTTAAATTCATACAAATATAGTATGGAAGTTGTATTGACTCTGTATAACCGTTAGCACAACTTAAAATGTACTTAGACACCCTGTATCTTATTTATTTTAAGATATGACATCTTATGTTGTTTTAAAAAAGATGTAATGAATGTTTATTTAAAGGTCTCTTTAAACTATAGTATATAGTATATATTATTCTTTAGTTCCCTGGAGTCAAGGCATTGTCGTACCAATAAAGGTACATTTATTGCCTTTTGGTAGAACGAATATTTATAAATGTAACTCTTTGATCCTATATAATACGGAAAGTTACCGAGCCCTTAGGGACTTTGGAAGTTGAAAGTAATATAAAACATGAGATAATATGAAAAGACTTTATTATAGTCTACAGAATCAAATAAATAAGTGCAAATAATAGAAATACAGCGTTAATATGGGCTTTAAAGGACTTATTACATGGTCTAGTTCTTAAGCCCACGTCACTGTTACATATACATGCCTCTACGTCATAACCATCAACTGTTTGACTGTAACAACCACTTGTTAAAGGTCCCTTATTTTTTTGAACGGCTTTCGTACACATATATGTAATATTATGTACTAAAAATAAAAACTTTTATTTTAAACCATAAATACTAAACACCCTGTATCTCACCTTTGTTATTAAACTTGTAGGTATACTTGGCACATACTTTATTTTCACTCTGTATGCATAAAATGCTGGGCAATTTTTTCTCCCATAACCACGTCATATTAGGAGGCGTACCATCCTCTGAATAAAACAAAATATAAAAAATTTATTTTTAAAAACGATTAGGCAAAAGCGCATTTATATAATTCATTTGACAGTGTTGCCACATGTCAAAATATTAGTCTAAAATTTATTTACCTGTTATGACTAAGGGTGGGCTACAAGGTATATTTTTAGCCCTTTTTTCATTTAAATAAGACTTACAAGTGCCATTCAAAATACTACTACTACTATGATTATTGAAATCAGGCCCTAACCATGTAAATTCGTAACAATATCTCCAGTTTTCACTTAATGTTTCATTTTTATTTGCTCCTACAAAGGCAATTAAAAAAATATATATCATTTTAAGTAAAAAAATCTTACCCTGTGAATTTATAACAAAAAACAATGAATTTGCTAACAAAACATTAAATATTAACCTCATTTTGATCAAATTTTACTAAAAATATTTACTGTATCTAATCTTAAAAAATTAGGGAATTATTAGTATCAATCTTATCAATATCCTCGAATTTTCTTTATAAGCTTATAAAATACGCAAAAAATACAAGGAAACCATATATTATATTAGGCAATATGAATACATATACAAATCTATTGGGTTGCCTATTTTCAACTAGTTAGTGTTTATTCTTAGGTGTTGAACGTGTTTCTAAGAATGTTTTAAATGTTTTTCCTGTTAATATAATAAACCATAGTTAATGTGCATTAGTAAATTTAATAAATATATTACTATTACATTACTAACGCTATCTCTTATCAACTAGCAGAAGCGTGATGCCGATAACACAGATTTCTTCGCTGTCATTTTACTGTCAACCTGGCAATTAATAGGTTATGTGTCAACTTTTTATCATCCATATGGTATTATTCTATAGTAGTTGACGTGTCTGTTTTATATTTTTGCAAGGGAAAATAAATAAAAACCCATAATGCACACCGTGCTGCAAAGAGGGAACTCTATTTTAGCGTACGCTTTGAGCGTTCTAGCGTGCTTAACGTTTTTGTGTTTTGCCTCTACTGTTTTTCTGGATTATAGGACGCAAGCTAAAATGAACACTGTTAAAGTTGTTGTGTATGTTTTTTTGTACTGTTTAAAGTTAAAAAACGTTTATTTTTGTTTTATTTTAGAAAAAATGTACCTGATTACAGCGCCTCAAGAGAGAAAAATGACTTAGGTTTTCTTACATTCGATTTGCAGACCGATTTGACCAGTTTGTTTAACTGGAACGTAAAGCAATTGTTTTTATATTTAACAGCCGAATATGAGACCCCAAACAACGAATTAAACCAGGTATATAGAAAAATGTTATAATTATCATCAGGAGACTTAAACCACATTTTAATTTTATAAAGTTAATATGGTATTATTTTGGTTAAGATATGTATAAAAATAGAAAAACCCTTGGACTGAAATATCTTTTAGATCTTTCGTTTAGAAGAAATATATATTTTTTTAATTTTAGGTGGTTTTATGGGATAAGATAATTTTGAGGGGGGAGAATGCAGTTTTGGACTTTAAAAATATGAATACCAAATACTATTTCTGGGATGATGGTAATGGTTTGAAGTAAGTTTTATTTTATTACCTATTTTGTATGATTTTAATTTTGTTTGAACTTTTTTTAGGGGAAACAAGAATATTACTCTAACATTGTCATGGAATATCATTCCAAATGCTGGTTTATTACCAAACATTTTTTCCCATGGTCAGCATTCCTTTAAATTCCCCATGGAATACACAACTTCAAGGGTTTAATATTAATAAATAAATAAAACAAAATAAAACATTTTTGTTATGAAAAATAATTTATTGCCTAAGTAAATAAAAATAATGAGAAAACAGCTTGTGTATTATTAACTAATACAAGGTACTCAATAAAACAATTTGAACATAATAAATAATAAAAACAATATTGCCATAAGAAGCAGTAGTACAGTACAGTACAGTATAAAACGTTTATTTTGTAATATCTAGAAGTGTTTAATTTAATTCAGTTTGAACGTCTTTATCTTCTTTTGTTTCTGGGCTAAATTTTTTTGAGATTTTTAGCATTTCTCTCAAACCCTACAAAAAAGATGACTTCTGTAGTTTTAAACAAACTGATATCAAACCTTAAAATAATGGATTTTTTGCTTATAAAATACAAAAACTCTTGCAATCCTAAGAAAAGAAAAGAATTTTTTTTTAACAGCTACCCGAGGGGTCAACCACCCAAAGGGAAAACGTCCAGGGATTCCCATGTATTCCCATTATATTTTATTGTATTCCTATGTATTTCCATTGTATTCCTATGGTATTCCCCCTCTAAAATGTCCAGAGATTCCCAGGTGTGGGTGACCCCTCGCAGCTACCTAAAATGTGGCTGGACTAACCAAATTTGGTGGGGGCATTCAAAGAGTGTACATTAACATTTAAATTACATGATTTTAATGTGAGTTACATCAAGTAATTTAAATGTACCATTTGGAAATACAATACTGGGGTTTGTTTTAAAGCTAGGGCAATCAGATTTGGTGTGGACATTCTTAATGTTTATATTAATGTTGTGTTAAAATTGGGTTAAAATCGTCACCATATAAAAGGTAAGGATGATTTTCAATTGTTTTGAAATTATTTTTGACAGACTCCAAATTTGGGGGGGGCATTCCAAGAGTGTGTTTTAATGTTTCATTAAAATTTGGTTAAAATTTCATTAATTTAAAGTGAGATATGCCAAGTAGTATTCTGTGGGCATACCATTAAAAATTAGGTTTTTATTTCATTTTATTATACCTGATTTTCAGCCATCAAAGTGGCAACAATTTTCTCTCTATCCTCCTCACTCTCACCCCATAGAGCAGCTCTATCCATAATGGCAGCCATTTCATTGATTTTTTCAGCTTGCCTCTGTATAATCTCATTGTACCTCTCATTCTGCATCGCCTTGAAATTTATCTTTGACTTGTATATCTGTTCTGTAGTGTGTTGCCTATATTTGGTCATAATATGCTCCAAAGTGGTTTGATAATCTTCTAACGTAGCTTTAAGTTCCCTATTTTCTTGCTGGATCTCACGTAAGTGACGGTTCTCCTTCTGTATGTTTGCTAATAGTTGTGAGTGGGGCTTTTGATTGGCTACTTCATTTAGCATCTCTACTTCTTCTTGAAACTGCAACAAACTATGAAATAAATCAATTATTTTTATGATATCAACGTACTTGTTTCATGGCATCAATCTTTTTATTTATAGCATGCGTTTCGTTTAATAACCCATCAGCAACAGTATCTCGTTCTTTTAAACGTGTTGCAAGTCTCCTAGCGTCAGTTATTATTTGTTGAATTGTTAAAGACATTTTTCTTAAATTATTATCACGTTAAATATTGAACCTATGAATTATTTATATAAACTCTAACACATCCTAGACACTGAAATTTAAATCAATCAAACCAATTCAAGACAATGAATATGTAAAGAAAATTATAATTTGATTAGTTGACATTCATACGTCAAAACATCGAGGTTGACGTTTCGTGTGTTGCCAACTTTTAACTAGGAACTTTTAGTTATTTAGGTATTTCTCTAAATAGTATTTAGTAAATATGTGTCTCAGAGATATTAGCTTTGTTCGCGGAGCTCATCCGTGATCAATCCGCGACAACTGCGCATGCGCACTGGCAATTTTAGCGTTCGCGGTGTAAAAATCGGCAACATTTGACATTTGATCACTCGTTCGCGGAGCCTTCGGGACCGGTTTCGAACTAATTACTGACAAGTCAAAACGATCCGAGGATTTTAGCATGTACTAGCTGTCAGACATGCGTATTGTTCATTATTGTTTAAAGTTTATTTTAGGTTATATGTTCTATATTGTTTTTAATTAAATTGTTAAACGAAAACGTAAGTTGAAATACTTATTTTTTACTTGCATTGTTCATTTCCTTGCTTATTTTATAGATGAGTGATTATCTATCATCCAGTGATGAAGATTTAGAAAATAGTTTAGATTTAATTGAAGTTCCTAAAAATACTGCATATTTTGAAGAAATTGTTACCATGTTCGATGATCAGCTATTTAGGGAGCATTTTCGAGTTAGCAAAGAGATTGTTTATAATTTAGCAGAGCGATTTAGCAATTCTGAATACTATAATTATCAGGAAGGAGATTCCCCAAAAAGTTTTGTCACAAAACAGCTGACTGATGGTTGCGGTTAGAAACGCGTTCGCGGAGATTTGTTAATTCTTGATCGGTTCCGAATCGCGCATGCGTACCCTGGTTCGTGATTATTTACCCTATACAGATACGGAACTAGTCATGGATGGGCTCCGCGAACAAAGCTATTATCTCTGATGTGTCTTTGTCCACCATGGACATATTTACAGTAGACGTGTAAAGCCTGATTTATAGATGGCCTTCCTTCCTTCCTCCCGGCCGCTTGCCCGTACGATTTGTATGTCTTACCCCACATTGTGGGGCCCACAATCCACACACGGATTGTGTCTTACCCAGAGACTCTATGGTCTTACCCTATTACGGAATATGACCGTTCTAATATTACTTTTCAATGCGAAATGACATAATATATTATATTCCTTAAAGTGTTAATTTTATTTTATTCTATTCTTGTATATGTAGGCAACCCATTTAACATTAATTTGTTAAGTTGTGGCCTACCTATACATTTTTTATTTTTGAATATTAATAATCTGTGATCAAAATCTTAGGTTATGTTGTTAAATTGTCAAATCCACCAAATAAATTGTCTAAACAATATAAATAATGTCTGAGCGAGGTAAATTCTATAATAAAAAGAAGTCGGGTTGGTTAACATCCAGGGTAATTATTTACTTAAATCATAAAAACGTTAAAAAAAAGTACATTTTAGGATCAAAGTTTTGGTAGAGTTTTCAGCAGCAAATCGGACTCTTTTACGACTTTAAAAAACGAAAAACTATCGAAAGAAGGCACAAGTTCAGGTTCAGTGCCAAAAGTAAAACAACCAACGATTTTGTTAAAAGCTAGGGAGCAAAATGAAGAAGTTAGTGAATCCCCCAAAAGAACCAAATCAGAGAATGAAAACAGTAATATTTCTATAATACCTTCAGCTGCCAAAGAAACAGAAGGTAGTTATTGCATTTTTATTAATTTTTAAAACAAATTAACAATAGATTTTAAAAATCAAAAACTACGATAGCATGTAAGGTGTTTTGAAAATGTTTGTAACTTCTTCAAAAATTGTCAGATTTTGATGAAAATTTCATGGTATACTAACAAAAGTACACTCTATCTTTATGATAGTATCTTATAATAATATTTGCATGGCAATTGTGGTATTTTCAATAACATTGAATTTTTTGTATGTAAAAAATTCACAAAAATACTAAATGTTTTTTAACATTTTCCAACGTTTGTTATGGTTTTTAGGTCAACATTCCCAAAAAACAAAGCATATGAAAAAATCTGAAAAATTCCTTGATGATGGCATACTTTTCAATGAAAGTATACAAGAGTTTCTGAAAGATAACTATGATTTTCTTGTGGTGGGTGTTGTTGGGGGACATGGGGTTGGTAAATCCACAATTATGAACCTATTAGCGGAAAAAAACATCACTGATGAAATAAAAAAAAGCGTTTTTAAGCAAGCTCCAGAAACTGATGAATTTGGTGAATTTACAAAAAATGAGGATTGTAGCAAATATGGAGAGATTTTTAAAATACAGGGTGTTCATCATCTTGAAACCAACTCTAATGCAACACATGGTATAGATTTGTATGTGTCATCAAACAGGGTAAATATTTTTTTTATATATTTATGTACATATACCATAAGGTGACCAACCGTTCTGATTTAACCAGAACTATACTGTTTTTGAGAACCATGTTCTGGTTGTAAATTAAGTAAAGTAAAAGTTCTGTTTTTCAAAAGCTTTTCTGTTTTTTTCTGTTTTCTTACCTACAATACTAATCAAGCCATAACCATAAAATTATATTTTCCACTTTGCCAGATTTCTCGCCCAATCGTGCAACTCTGCTCGCCCTACTTCCACTAAATACATTCGCGTTGGCGTTCGCACTTGGCTCTCCCCAAACGAACTAATAGTTCGGAACTATTTTAGTATTGCGCATGTCCCTGACGTCTGCGCGTTTTATTGTGGTTAAATATTGTAATATTGTATCTATTGTTTTTTATATTTCAAACTCTAAATGATATGCCTCTGCAAAGTAGTCCTGTAGAGAAAGTTTTTTCCAATATGAACAACTTTTGGACAAAAGACAAATCACAATTGCATATTAAAACACTAAAAGTACTAATAAAAAAAATTTACTCCCAAGAAAAATATAGTTTTAAAAAATCTTAATTTGTAATAATATTATGTTAATAGAAATACATGTAAAAATTTTATAAAAAATACCTACAAATTTTTTATTAGAGTTCTGGTTTTTCTTTCAGGAGAGTTGGTCACCTTAATATACCTACATATAAATGATGTATGTGATGTAATTTTTTTAAGATTATTTATTTGGATTGTCAACCTTTTAACTCAATATCGGTTTTGGAAGACTTAGTTAAACATGAGAGTAAACGTACAAATTTGGTTAGCGAGTTTATACCTGTGGAAAATAGTGGCGAAATTCAAAGTTTACAAATTACAGCTTTTTTAATGTCAGTTTGTCATGTTTTAATATTAGTGCAGGATTGGTTTCTTGACAGCAACGTTATAAGGTAAAATAATATTCATATATTTCATGAATTATGTCACACAGTTTAGTTTAGTTAGTTTTATGACAGAATTTGTCTATAGTTATACACATGCTAAATTCTTTTAGATTCCTACAAACAGCTGAAATGTTAAAACCAACCATGTCCAACCCAGAGGACGAATTATTGGACCATTTTCCCAACCTACTATTGGTTCATAATAAGGCCCAATTGGACGATTTCTCTCCTTGTAAATTTAAAAAAATGCAATCGGTAATATTGGTCTTAACTTAATATAAATTTTCCATATTTTACTTTATTTCTTTACAGATATACAGGGAACTCTTTGAAAAAAGCAAAATGCACATAGAAACCCACATGGGCATGGGTTCTGGCCATGTAATAAACTACCTGAACCCATCCAGTTGTGGAAACCCTATAAACCTATTTTTAATACCGGAAATAGACCCCTACTCAGATATAATTTATAATGGTCACCCCCCTTTGGAAACCCTCTTCAAAAAACTAAAAGGCGGCATTTTGGCAACCACGCGTATACCCATAACTCACGTGAGTTTTTCCGAAAAAACATGGCTTATTTATTGTGTTAAAGTTTGGGAAACTGTGAAGAAGAGCTCGTTTTTTGTGGAGTATACAAAATTGATGCCCTGAAGGCTGAAATAATACAAAAAAATGGGATTGAAAATGGTATATACAATGAGTGGTTGGTAAAGTTTTATTTATTAACTATAACTATAAATATGTGTATATTTGACAAAAAACAATACTACACATTAATAAAAACAATTGTAAATAAAATGATTTTTTGTTACACTAACATTGTTATAGTCGTCGCAGCGAATGTTTCAAATTGCGTCATCAATGTCGACTGTCAAAAACAGATTTCTCGACATGCGGTTAACCTAGCTGAATTATATACGTAAAAAAAACAACTATAATTGTAGTGTCTGTGCTTGGTTCAGAATTTGATAACGCAATTTGAAACATTCGCCGCGACAACTAAGTATATCTAACATTTAAAATTAATTAAAAGCAACATTTTGGGGCCTAATAAAATTCTATAAAGCAAAATAAGTAAAATTCTTATAAAAGTGACTTCACAAATTTCACTATTTTTACACTTTGGCGCCCAACGTGTAAGGTTTTACAAAAATGTCTGTAACTTCTACAAAAATTGTTGAATTTTGATGAAATTTTTAGGGTATAATAGCCAAAGTGCGCTTTTTCTTATGGTTACAATTTTTAGTCATACTTTTTCTTATGGTTACATTTTTTAGTCATACTTTTGTCGGTATACCCTAAAAACTGACAAATAAGGATATTTACAACTTCTCTGTGAGTTTTACGATTTTTGTTTAATTTTAATCAAAATTGTAGGGTTTGCTAACATGTACGCTCTTTATTTTTATGGTTACCCTAAAAATTGTATGCAAAGTAACAAATTTTAGATTTTGGCGCCCAACATGTAAAGTTACCAAAATCTTTATAACTTCTACAAATATTATCCGATTTAAACAAAAAATTCAGGGTATACAAACAAAACCACCGTCTTTCTTATGATCACATTTACAAAGTCGTAATTTTGTCGGTATACCCAAAAAACACAAGTTTTGTGACGTGGAAAATATAGTAAAAACACAAATAGACAAATGTGCCTTTTTACTTATAAACAGTAGCAAGTAGAGGCTTTTTTCTCAGCTCTAAAGGCTTGTAAGATTGCTGATAGACCGAGGCGAGTCTCCAATGTTCCGGGTAATCGGTCCTTTTTTGGTTCTGCAAAGAAAAAGGTGGTGCTAAGCTGACAATCTCGTACGACTTTCTACTGTACGGGTTTTTTTGTCGCGGAATCGGCAATAATTTTACTCGTATGAAGGTACTTACGCTTTTTTTCAACGGTAATCCAGCTTTAAACGCTTGCTTGAACTCGGATTTGGGTTTTTTTTCTTTGAGGGACACGTTTTTCATTTGGCATGCCATGCAGTGTTTAAAGGTTTTGTGTTTTACCACTTTGAAGCATTCTTGGCATTGTGGTGTAGGGGTTTTTGGCTTAAATAGGTCTGGGATGCTTTTGTGTAAGGATTTGTTACTGTGAGGAGAGCTAGTTGTAGTTTCGTTTATGTTGGTGGCACTTTTTGATCTTTTTTTGGACCCCACAGAACTAACACTGCTTTTATTTGACGCTGTAGTTTTGGGGCGTTCAAAAAAATACTTTTTTGTGTCATCATTATTATTTCTGTGCTCAAATAGTGGTCCACACGCATGTACACCATCACATTTAACCTCTTTTGGGGTCTTGGGGTCATTTTCTTTAGGAGTATGAACCAAAGTAAAAACTGCAGGTGCTTGTGAATCATTATTACCATCAATATGGTTTGTTCTCTTGGGCTCATCCTTAGGATTCTCTGGTGTTAAATCCCAGCAAATCGCTAGATCAATCGGTGAAACTTTCCACTGTTTAATAAACCTCCACTTCTTATCAAAGCTACTAACACTGCTAGGTCTATTTTCATGCTGATTGATAATCTTATTGTGTACGCATGTTTTTGGTCTAAAAACGCGCAACTTCGTACATCTAGTGGGCCCATAACCACCATATTCCTTCCAGCCTATACCTGTAACGCGATTGTCTGCCTCTATACCCAGACCTGGGTCCAATTCACCTTGCATCTGCAATTTTCTGTACACATTATGTGTGATGGTATCTGGTAGTGGCTCATGCTCCAAATTTTCCTTGTGTAGTCTTTTGGCCAAGCAGAAATTCGACATTGTTGCCAATATGTGTTTCTTAGCTTTAACGTTGTTACATTCATCATATTCCTGGTAATGGTGGGGCTCCATGCACAGTATTTCTCTGTGTTTGTTATACATTTTTTCGGCTTCTTTGGTAATGTCAACTTTTTCTTCAGGGAGGGTAGTGAAATCTTCATTTACAACACGAGGAAATCCCTTACAAAAATCAGAGTCTTCTTTTTTAAATCTTCGTTTTTCTAAATCAGAATGGCTAGTTGGGACATGTTTTTCGTCTGTAAAATCACCTGGGACGTAAGGTACTGCAGCTTTGATTTCGTCATCTTTTTTGTCCTAAATAAAATATGTTAAATTAGCTAATTATATATCATAATTTTTCGAGATTATTTATAAAATCTAAAGTCGTGTCAATTATAGTTCTCTTAAAATTAGTTACCTCATTTTTAAACACTGGGTTCGGTATATTCTTTACTTCTGCATTATTAATTATTTCTTGTATAATTTCATGTTTTTTTTTGGTCAATGGTCTTAAATAACCCAAACCATTAATTTCATTAGCTGAAACATAATTTAATATTTCATGGTGCATTATTTGGCATCAATAAAAAATACCTGTTTTTCTATTGATTTTTTTCGGTAAATCCCAAGCTCCATAATAACCGGACCAAGGAATGTCCTTTATTTTTGGTATATTTGGTAATAAGTGTCCCCTGGAGTTACTTATTATTTTAGTGGGGCCAGTTTTTTGGGCAGGTCTGTGGTTTTGAGCTTTTGGTACTTCCCAGTTCTTTAGATTCTTTGGTCTGAATGCCTGGTCATACTAATAAAAATTAAAAAGGTTACTTTATGTGTATAACCACGCAATTTAGGTGAGATTACTTAATAAAACTTTGAAAATAAAACAAAACTTTATTCTTAATATACAATATAACACAATTCATTTCTTCATATTCCTCTTCTTAATATGTTTCTTAATCTTGCTTTTCCTCTTCTCTGCCTTTGCATCTTTTACAGCTTTCTTCCTATTCTTCTTATCCTCCAAACTCTCATCCTTTGGCCTTGAAGAATCTCTGAAACCACTTTTATGCTCCTCATCCGAAACTTCATCACTGGAATCTGTATCCTCGTCAGATTTTTCATCATCATTCTGGAGAATTTCTGGTTGTTGAACAGTACCACTTAAGTCAGCCTTTAGACCAACCAACGTTTTATAAACCAAGTCGTCTGATTGGCCGGATTTTGCTTTGTTTATATCCCTTTCAAAATCGATTACTTCTGTAAGTCTTTGTGGGATGTAAGCTTGTTTGAAAACTTCTTCCTCGACCTACGGAAATAGATTTTGTTGTATTTTTAGATTTATGTGCAAGAACCGGGTATATCCATATTCGGAAAATGTTCAGGAGACAAGAAATTATTTTATACAATGTCATTGATTTTTATTTCTCCTGTATCTAATATATTTAGTTATAGCTAACGTGGATCTACACGGTTTGTGCGCCGAACGATGCGGAATACTGAATACGGAATCTTCATATACCTAACTCAATTTAGCAAAAAATATGGAGATACCCGGTTCTTGCACCAAGCCCCTCAATTTTAAAGTAAAGCTTTTATATTTAAATAAAAATTAGTTGGATAAAACACCGATGGAGAGTTTTTTGTACTATGATCCACATCCAAAAGTTTCACCACATAACTTTAATACAAAAAATTAAGGTTTAATTAATTATTTCCGTCAGTGTCAAGCTAATTTCTGACTACAATGAATGTATTTTTTGTGTTCTAAATTAAGACATGTACACACAAAAAAATACATATGTATGTATATTGTATTATTTTCAAAAAATAATACGAAATTAGCTTTACACTGACAGAAAGATAACCTAATTATTTGTAACAAAGTCACGTGGTAAGACTTTTGGGTGTGGACCATGGTACAGTGGCGGACACGGAATTTTGAACAACTATCATTCCGTTGACAAAAATCTAAACTAACCTTACTTCCGGTTATCACTATAGTGATAACCGGAAGTAAGGTTAGTTGTCCATAGTTTAGATTATAGACTATAGTCTTGTCATTTTGACAGCGAAAGCAAATATGGTCAATATTGTATCTTTGCTATATACAGATTTATACATAAACAACCAAATTATGACGTTCAAAATTCAGTGTCCGCCACTTTACCAACCTTTCTATAATACAAGGTGTCCCTAAACTTGTGGCATAAATTTAGGAGCACATTAATCAAGTCAAAATAAGACAAAAATCTAAATAAATATTTTTCCTAATTACGTATGTTTAAAAGATACAGGGTGATAAAGTGTTACTTATCAATGATAAGTTATCATATCAGTTTTTTTAATATAACTTCTACTATGGTAGACTTGAAAAGGTGATATTTTGCAAACAGTCACTTATATCAGTTTTTTTAATATAACTTCTACTATGGTAGACTTGGAAAGGTGATATTTTGCAGTTACTTACTAGCAAAACACATATTCAAACAATTATTCTAGTGAACACAGTGTCATAGAAACAGGGGTTGCATAAGCTTATTGTCCCATACAAACTTTGAGGTTAGGTTTTTATACCATTTGATGCAATTTTTCGATTACTCAGTTCGGCTACATTTAAAAAGGTGTACCTCTCAAACTTCGATGAAATAAACCGTTTCCGAGATATTCGAGATTACAATAATTGTTATTTCGCATTAAAGGACTCAAAGGTATATAACAAACTTTTTAATAGAAAAAACTACATTTTTTTTAATGTGACGGTCAGGGCAAAAAATCCCGAGGCTCATGGAATGCCCTTTTTAGTTTTTTCAATTAAAAAATAAAATTTGTTATCATATACCTTTTAATCCTTTTAAATAATGCGATTAACAATTGAGGAGCATCCGTCCAAAACCGGCTATATCCACTTTAATAAAATGTTGGGAAAATGGCAAAAACTCTCGGTTTCCTGGCCTTTACAGATAAAAGAAAAAGCAAACTTGAGTTTTGTGGGCTTTGGTACTTGATTTATAAGACATACTTTCGTTTTCAAAAACTTTATATTAAGGCCAAAATTTCAAAAAATGTTTTGTATATAGCCGGTTTTGCTAAAAAACCGAATAAAATGTGAAAAAAACCTTTATTATTCAAAAATATTAACAAAATAAATTTAGTGCAAACATGAAAAAACAGAACAAATTTTAGTAGTAGTATCGACATATCCAAGCCACATGCTCATCATCATTATTATTTAATGGATATAGCCGGGTTTGCTATAAAAATGTGATTTTAACATGGATATAGTCGGATTTAAACAGAATTATCTTGGTTGTCGATGAAATGAACCCAAAGATGCGAAATCAGAAAAAAAAACAAAAACTGAATAAAATGGATTTAGCCGGTTTTGTACAGATGCTCCTTGTTTATTGTTTGGTAATTGTTGTTAAATTGTTGCTCGAAGGACCATAAAACGATGCTTGTGTTTGTTTGATGTTGTTGTATTGTTGTATTGTTGATTAAAACCACAATAGTGTATGGTTTTTAAGTAGATATTTATTTACACATAACTTAAACTAAAACTATTTAAACAAGTGAAATAAAAACTAGATCATTGGCGATCAATTTGGGTAGTCGATACTGCCCATGTGTTTCAATGCTGCTTAATTGAGTGAATGTGTCGATTGTCGTCCTACAGTTCGGGTAGTTTTAACCCCCCTCGCTACTAGACATATGATTGGCTTGCCTCTACAGTGGGAGTGGCAATATAAGCCTGCTTAAATTATACTTAAAATTATACATTTACGTTATAACGAATTAAAATTGAAACTTTGCTTTAACACTCCTCAATTATTGTAATCTCGAATATCTCGGAAACGGTTTATTTGATCGAAGTTTGAGAGGTACAACTTTTTAATGGTAGCCGAACTGTGCAATCGAAACATTGCATCCAATGTTACAAAAACCTAACCTCAAAGTTTGTATGGGACAATAAGCTTAAAGCAACCCCCGTTTCTACGACACTGTGTTCACTCAAACAATTGTAATTAAGTGTGAATATGTGTTTTGGTAGTAAGTGACTGTTCGCAAAATATCAGCTTTCCAAGACTACCATAGTAGAAGTTATATTGGAAAAACTGATATGATAAGTAACATTTTATCACCCTGTATCTTGGAAACATAAATAATTAGGAAAAATATTTATTTAGGTTTTCGTCTTATTTTTACTTGCTCAATCTTTTCCCTAAATTTATGTCAATAAGTTTAGGGACACGTTGTATAATACAATACTAAAATCAATATAAATCTGTTGTAATTTTATTAATTTTTAGGGTATACCTACCGACAAAATATGACATTTGTGTTAACTGTAATTTAAAGAGCTTATTATTGTTAGTATACCCTAAACAAATATTAGAAATATTCTCCAACTCCACCCTGAAAATGTTATCAAAATCTGTCGTTTTTAGGTGTTATTTTGGCGTCTAATATGTCAAACTTTTTTAAATGCTCTGTAAATATGGACATAGACTAGCATAAAAGAGTGTCATTCATGAATGACATTCATAAATTACATTCCTGAATTACAATTGGGTTTTCCCATACATGAGTGTCATTCATAAATGACATTCATATTTGACACTGGCTTGTTGAACAAGAAGTTTAAAAATGCACGATTACATTTTATTAGCAGCGGCATACGCTGCTTTAATTAGAAATAAAAAAAATAAACAGCGACAAATTAAACTATTAATTAAATTAAACTTAACAATTATGCTACAACACTGACAATGAATGCCAATTTAGCGTGATATTTGGCCACACACCGTCCATCTGTACAAGTACATGTACATGACTGACATACATAAATGTCACTCATGCATGCAAGTCTATGGCCAGCTTTATGCTACAGTTACAGTGTAATTTCTACAAATTTTATCGGATTTGTATAAAATTTTTAGGGTATACTAACAAAAGCCCGGCCTTTTCCTTATCGGTATACCCTGAAAATAAGGTTAAAACTCCACATTTTGCAGAAGTTTAGTTTTTACAATTTGACATTTTTAAACGCTCTGTAACTTTTATTAACGCTCTGTAACTTTTACAACCTTTGTTTAATTTTAGAGAAATTTTCATGGTATACTGTAAACCTTGGTCCACTTTTAACTTTTAGGTTTATAACTTTTTACAGAATAGAAATAATAACTTGTTCTTGGTGTCAATTTATAGGTCGTTCACCAAATCTTAAAATTTTGAAACTTTCAAAAGTACACTAAAAAAAATATATATGGATGGCTGAAGTCAGAAGGTAATGTTGGGTAACTTTGGCCACCACAGATAACTGGGTAAATAGAAATTTGAGAAAAACAACTATTAAACATAACATGAATTAAGACAAGAGTGTGACAAAAAATGTGTTTGACAGTAAAAAATACGTTTTTTTCATAATTTTTTAGGTGTTACAAAAAAACTATAATTATCAACTCATCCTATTAATTATATTTATATTCACTAAAAACTTGAAACATATGACAATATTAAAATTGCAAGTCTTTGCAGTATAAACAAATTCTGATCAAACCCAACCAAGTTTACGGTACTAAGAAAAGTGTGCTTTTTTTGACATCTTGAAAATCGTTATTTTATTGATATACCTCAAGTGAAAATAGCCTTAGAATCCGTAGTTACATTTTTAACACTTTGGCGCCCAACATGTCAAACTTTTTTTGAAGCAAATTATGTCAAATTTTGATGAATTTTCAGGGTATACTAAGATTATTATTATTATTATAATTGCAAAGAATCTTACCTGTTCATTGGATGTAATTTCTTCCCTTTCAGATGCTTTTTCTGATAGTTTTTCTAGACATTCATCCATGTTGCTTTCATTTATAGAAGGGTCAGTAATAAAATCAAACAAGTCTTTGATTCCCATTGTTGCTACATCTTTTTTCTTGAAAAAATCGGTGATATTTGTGCAATCTTTCCTTAAAAACTCCAAAGCATGTGGATGATCATGCTCGACAGACTGTGAAACATCAATGATATAAATTTCACCATTATGATACAGCATATTGTACTCGGATAAATCTGCATGCACCAACTTGCACTTATTATACATTTTCCACAAAATAACAACTATTTCACGATATATCTCTCTTGATTTAGACTGTGATATTTCAACGTCTTTTAATTTAGGTGCCGGCCAACCATCTTTTCCAATAAAAGTCATTAACAAAACATGGCTTCTTAACAAAACAGGTTCAGGTGTTTTAAGACCGTTTGAGTGCATTCTGACGAGATTTCTCATCTCTTTTTCAGCCCATGTTCGCACCATTTTTCTAGGGTTATGTTTACAGTATCCATGGCGGAACCTAAACTCGCCACTGACGTATTTATCACGATCTTTGAACACTAGTATGCTGGTTTTGTAGATTTTAATGGCAAATTGTTTATCTGTGTTTGATGATGCATGATAGACATTTGCTTCTTTACCTGTCGATATACATCCATTTATTTGAGATATAAGGTTTGTATTTAACATTTTGAACAGAATCATGCGAGTCCTAGGGTCCATAACTTGCTCTACCGTCGCTCTATCGTGTTTATCTTTAGTTCTTATCCTCTCATTCGCCATCTTACGCTGATTTTCAAGCAATAGGTTCGTAGCATGACATGGGATGTTACTCTCGTATTTTTCCACATTAATCTTATTCGAATACTTCTTAAACAAATTATCCGCAGGCTGAAAGTTATTCACCTTCGTTGAGGCTTGCTGAGGATTCTTATTTACTGCGTAACAACCGTCGTCGTAATAATCATCTTCATAAGAATCGTAATATTCGTCTTCGTCCGTTAAATAGTCCTTTTCGGGTGTATCGACGATTTTTACGGCTCGTATTTTATCCTTTATGTCTTCCTCTGCATCGCAGTATAGTTCTTCTTCGTTTATTGCAGTCATTTTTATTCAAAACACTGGAAAACACGTTGTTTACTTTTTTAGGTTAGCTGTCACTGTCTTCTTCTTCTTATAATCGAGAAGCTTTAAAGAATTTTTAAAATTTGAATTTTATTTGAATGTTTTAAAAATATTTATTTGTATAAAAGGATTGATAACAATTATGGCTCAAAAAACAAAAGTTAAAATTTGTTAACTATAAGTTAATAATTGAATTATAAAGTTATGATTATTTAAAATACACTCACCTCCAAAAAAACCGGCCACCAGAATTTGGCAACAATTTTAAAATTCGCGAGGAATTTAGCATTAATTAATGCTAATTTCCTCGCGAACCGCTCATCTGATTTTAATGATTTTTTTTTAAATGTAGGTTGTCATTTTATTTTTGATTTTTATTTTAGCATAAACAGGGTGCAAAAGTAAAAATAAGATTTTTCCTGAAACTGTTGGTTGACTCTTCAGTAACGATGCTATAATATACATTTTTATTCAGATTTTAATTTGAGCATATGCCTACAGGGTGCAAAATTAAGACGAATATTTTTTCTCAAAATTTAAATTGTGACACCCTTTGGGATGCATCAGCTGCAGCTGACATGTCACAGATTATACAACTGTTACTGCTGATGCTAGCTGACATTTTCTATATCCCTATCTTATCTGAAATTTTTGTTTTTTCATTAGCGTTATTATCTCTGTTATTAACGAAGATCATATATAAACGTAGGGGCATTCCATACCCCCCAGACCCCCGGCACGCCTTACCACCCCAGTTAAAAAGCTGAAATTACCCTATAGGAGTAGGTAATTTCAGCTTTTTAACTGGGGTGGTAAGGCGTGCCGGGGGTCTGGGGGGTATGGAATGCCCCTACGTTTACGTGGTTCTAACCAGTGAAATTTTAAAAAACTAGCATTAAATTGTTGTTTTTTTTAGTATACATATTTTCATTTCAAATAATTACCTACTAACCCTAAAAAATTCATTGTTAATTACTTTTTTCTACTCCCACCTTTAAAACGCCCTTTATCGTAAATGTTTCCATGACACTAAGTGACCTTTTAAATACACATTGACAAGTTGTGGCTTTATGGCGCTTTAGTCACGGGCTGAAGTTAGCAACAGGATTTTAGTCACGGGCTGAAGTTGGTTTTAAGTTAGTTGACAGTTGTCAAATATCATACAATCGTTAAAATAAAGTTGCCTTTCTTGTAAAATAATACTAAATGTGAAAATTATTTTATTATCTCAATACAAAAATACAAAAGTATTAAATAGTTTCTCCACAATCCACACAATTGGATTGTGAGTTTCTCAACGCCAATATTTGAAAAGTTTATATGAACATTGTACTGATCTTTTAATTTCGCCGGCAGTAAACTATAACTTAAATTCGGGCACGGACTCCACTGTAAAGTGCTCATAAAACATTTTCTTTACTTTCACTGTGAAAAACTGTCAATTTTCAAGATATATATAACCTTTATAATCTGTGTTTATAAAATAACTAAATTTGACATTTGACAGATTCCCCTATTGTTTCATAGATGGCGCTCTATACAAATTTTTGAATTAAATCATTTTAAAATAATAATAAGTATTTGTCGTAGAAAAAGTATAGTATGCACCTCGTTTATAAACTTTTCTATACACTCATTAATTTACGCAAGCTCGCTCGTGCCTAAATTAAATTCGTGTATAAAATGGCGTTTATCAAACTTGATACCTAATATACTATTTTCTACTCCCACCCACGCCCATTACCGTACATGTTTTCCTGACACTATAAGTGACCTTTTAAATACACATTGACAAGTTGTGGCTTTATGGCGTTTTAGTCACGGGCTGAAGTTGGTTTTAAGTTAGTTTAAAGTTGTCAAATGTCATACAATCGTTAAAATAAAGTGGCCTTCTTGTAAAATAATACTAAATGTCAAAATTATTTTATTATGTTTTTCAACGCAAATATTTAAAAAATTTATATGAACTTTTAATTTTGCAGTAAACTAGATTTAACCTAATTTTTGGGTCTCCACCGTGGGGTGCCAATAAAACATTTTCCTTACTTTCACTTTCACAACTGCTTAAACGGATGAAATGGCCCATTTTCAAGGGATACATTTTGATTTACACATAAAAATTTGACATTGGAGATTTACAACTTGGTTACTCTATTGTTTTATAGATGTTGCTCTATACAAATATTTAATTTAAATCATATTTAGATAATAATATATACAGGGTGTCCTGAAATTAGTGCACCATACTTTAACAGGAGATTCTACGTACAAAAATAAGAAAAAAAGTCCCTATAAACATAGGTCAAGAAATGCCTCCTAAGGGAGCTACAGCCCCCAAAAGGAAAGCCCCTAAAGATGGGTTTTATTTAATATCTCCAAAACCGTTAAAGATAGAAAAGTGAAATTTAGGGAATTAATTAAACTTTTTATGACCAATAAGGCGTAACAAAAACAATTTAAAAAATTTCATGAGGTTTGGGTCAGATTGATAGGAAATGGGGTTAAAACACAGACCTAGGTCTGTGGGTTAAAACCACCTTAACTTTTTTGTACGTATCTTGTACCAGAATTTGATGTCAGATTATGAAATTTTGGAGTTTTGCTCATAAAAAATGTCATCTTGTTGAACTTCATTAACATACACCGTGTCATTTCCGACAAAAAAATAAAAATAATAATAATAATGTCTTTATTGATTGTAAAAAACTTATTACAAACAAAAGGCAAAGTTCAGTACCCTACACTAGGTAGTTTTCTGCTCTTTCACTTAATAAAGAACAAATTGTAACACGTCAATTTGGCGACAATTTATGGCATTTTGTAATGCGAGGAATTATAAACTACTCGACTCAACATCACAGCAATATTTAGCAAATATTTTGCTTAATTGGGCATACAATATGAAAAAAATTAATGGAAAATATTAATATAATATATAATATAATATAATATAATATAATATAATATAATATATAATATATTATAAGGAATGCGTTATCAAAACTATCTGGAACTCAACGGCAAAAATGCAAATATTTTGCTTAATTGGGCATACAATATGAAAAAAATTAATGGAAAATATTAATATAATATATAATATAATATATTATATAATATATTATAAGGAATGCGTTATCAAAACTATCTGGAACTCAACGGCAAAAATGCTTCAAGAGCAATATTGCTATATATACTATCAAGATTTTAATATCAAAGTTAATCCATTTTTCGATATTGTATTCAAAAAGGCCCGTGATGCTAGAAACACAAAAATAAATAAGTTACAAATTCCGGAAAGCAGAAAAAGAAGTTTAAACGCTCTCACAAAAGAGGAACTTATAAAAATGGCCAGGTTATGGAAAGAAAATGAACCAGAAGGTTTACAAAAAAGATTTTTCCATATGTTTCTTACGAGTTAGCATGGTGAGGTGGAGAAGCGGCAGCATGCATGTTGTATTATTTTAGTGAAAAAAAAACAACGATGAGATGCTTACACACTGTTCAAAATTTCATGACCAATTTAACACCAAATTAACACCATACGTGGTCTATATCGATACAAACCAAAATGGTGTTAAATAAGGTTCGTTGGTCCGGTGTCAATTCAAATACTAAAATGGTGTTAAATAAGGTTCGTTGGCGGTGTAAATTCAAATACTAAAATGGTGTTAATTTAACTTTCACACAGTATTAAAATAAATTTTACCTGGTGTAAATTGAACTCCTTTTCAGTGTTAAATATTATGTATTTGTGGTCAAATTATCATACTACACAGAAAAAAGGAAAAAAAAGGAAACAGGAAGTTCCTTGACGCATTACTAGTATATTACCAGTGGTATTATTCCAGAAAATGGAACCTTCAACTCGCTAGAGATAATGTTTTTAGTGCGTTCCACTAACCTAAAATACTTCAAGTATTGACAGCTGTTTCCACCTATTTAAGGTCTCTTTAGTATCAAACAACTTGTAGTCACACCAAAGCAAAGGATTACCTACGTTTATATATTCTTCATGTAAGTCAACAGAGGCGAGATTTAAGAACATCACGTGATCCACAAAAATATAAATACTTATGGGTCAACTGGGTTAAATGAACTATTCCTTTTTTTCTGGGTAGGTGCACTTCTCAAATATTTTTAGATAAACACCGTTTTGGGGTTCATTTTCAACCCTAATTCATGGTGTTATATTAACACCATTTGGTGTTGGATTTTGACACCATTTTAGGATTACTTTTTACACCGTAGATATTTTAAACAGTGCAGGCAGAATTGAATACAATCCAGTGTTTTTTAAGACCACGCAAGGAGGATTTAAAAGATAAGTGACACTAAATGGATTTTAAAAAATGAGGAAGATCCAAGCATTTGTCCAGTTAGACTATTTAAAGTTTTTCTGGAAAAATGATCTAAATACATAACATCAGATCGTATGTTTCTTAATCCAAATCCATTTTGGAATAAACAAAATTCCAAAGGTTGGTACAAAAACATGCCCTTGGGTAAAAACATAATCTCAAAATGGACGCAAATCTCAGCAACTGCAATTGGACTCGACACAAAAAGATCAAAATAACAAACCATTCTTCAAATCAAATCAAGCCAGTACCTACCCAAAGATAATATTATCTTTGCCAGTACCTACTGTATCCAAATTAGCTAAAGCGGGAGTAAGCGACCAACAACTCATTAAATTAACTGGTCATTCTAATAGCAATTCTATAAAACCATATTTACAAATAGATGCAACACATTATAAAGAAATAGTTTCAAATTTACGAAATGATATAAAAATTGCCTGTCAGTCAAACAATGAAAACAATATTCAAAATGCAATCATTACAGATTTTATTTTCTACCTCTGTATACAGAATTATTTATAATAATTGTTCATTTACTAACTGTTTATTTATAAATAAATTTTAAAAGGAGACTTAATCATCAATTAATCACATAATTATCTCGTCGAATAATTATTACACTCGAGCCTTTTTTTCTGGCAGGATAAATTTGTTACCTTTTAGTAATTTGACTCAATCTG